CCTCGTCGTCGTCGTCGTCTCGTACGTACCACGAGACGAGAAGAGAGAGAGAGAGAAGAGAGAGAGAGAGGCTGAGAAGCCTTAGAGGAGTTCCCTTGTCAATGACGAACCCCTCTGATGATTTGGACGATCTCCTTGACAGTAAGCAATCCTTTATACAGAGCCCAATCTCTCTCCCTCTCTCTCTCTCTCTCTGGTTTTTATGGAGGAAGATTATCCTGATTGAAAAGCAATAAATTGATTAAATTTCCTATAAAATTTGACGTAGGTGCTTTAGATGATTTTGAGAAGCTTGATTTGGGTTGTGGAAAGAGGTATGTCTATTATTTTCACCAAAAAACCCTTTCATAATTTCATATTATGCTCCTTTAATTTTGGCTACCTTTAATGTTTCTGTTTTTATTTATGCTGAAGACTTATTGGGTTTTTTTACTTGGAGGAATTCAGACGTGGTTCTCTGCAAATTGATGAAGTCCTTTGAGTTTCTTTGCAATTTCAATGTCATAGAGATTACTTGTTTATATTATGATTGATACATCCTATGAAATTATTTTCCATCTTTTTTTGAAGTAGTATCTCTCTCTCTCTTGTGTTGTCCTTCATTAGAGAATAGAAAAGTGGAGGTATGCATATAATATGTTCGTCTTCTTTTAACTTCGATGAAATATTGAAATTCTGTATCAAAATTTGGACAGTTTTCACCCTCAATTTATCAAAAAAAGAAAAAAACTCTTAAGTTACTGCCTTTTTTATTTTTTTCCATAAAATAAGCTTCTACCTTTTTTTCTTAAATAGTTGTGTTAACTACAAAAATTGGTGATGTTTTGTCATCTGTTTCTCTTTTAAGCTTAATTGTTCATAATTTCAATATTAGTTAAAACCAAAATTCAGCTCCAATTTGTACATTGGAGGATGAAGCAATATGGGAGGAGTTCAATCACAACGAACAAAATAAGCATATCTGAGCACACATGATTACTATATGTGGAATACTGTATGGAACCAACAAGTGATTCTCCAGTTCTTCGTCCTTTCTGTGTAAGACAAACATGTCAGCTGTAGGGGTGCTCTTGTGTTGAAATATTGGTAAATGTATGGGGCTTCTTTTCACCGAACACTTTTGAGTTTGGAAGGTCATTTCAATTATGTCTCGCAACTTCCTGGATATAGATTTGACCAAAAATATCCATGATTTGTATAAATTCAATGCAATTTTTCCTAACTGCCTCTCCGCACATAACCCTTTTTGAGCAATATGAATCACCTCATGTAATTCTTCCGGGTTTCCTCCATAAATCTTCTCCAAGGGCCAACATTCATCTTTTTTCGGGAGTTCTTATGTAATAAAATTCATCTACTTTGGTCCCTCTGGATCAAATGCCTTAGCTCTATGCAAGCCAAAATTAATTAAATATAAGCTATCTAAGTTGACTGGTTGAAATAATCTAATGTCAATGGTCCACTAAATATGGATAGACTAGATTAGAAAAATAATTAATTTCAGAAAAAGGCTTATTTCATCGGTTATTTGAGATTGCATATGATGGAATTAGTGGCTGTGAGAACTCCATGACCTAACCCCTAAATTTGGTTGGTATGAATTAAGAAATGTTTTCATGGAGTTCAACATTTTCAATATTTCACCAATAGAAAGTTTAAAAGATTATCAGAATTGTATTGCTTGTGAACATGTGTCAGCTATGCCTCTAAGGGATTCTGTCGGGATGAGATTATAAGGGTTCACTCAATGGGTGGAACACATGGAGTTTGATATGGGGCTTATAGAAGAAAGGTTTGCATGTTATGTTAAGGAGTTTGATGTCTCCATTGCATCAAACAAAAAAATGAAATTGGTGTTCTCCTTGATTCATACGTAATTGCTAATGAAAATTTTTCTTCTAATACAGATTAGTTAGAAAAGAAGACAAGCCATTGATGAAGAAATGATTTGATTTTGTTCCTTCCTTTTCATTGTTCCTTCTAGGAATGAACCGAATGCAATATGGATCAAAGTAGGTTTTTTCTTTGAAATCTCTTAGGAATGCAATTCGAGATAGTCCATGACAATAGATCTTTGTATCATGCCAATTCTGCTTTCAGAAGTTGCTTCTCAAAACAGTTAAGATTTCCATCAACATACTCTTTGAGGACTGCTTTAAGCGATATATCAAGAGGCCTTCTATTTGCTTTTCTTGGGTCCATTTGAATAAGCAGTGAGTTGTGAGATGTAATGAATGAGACTGAATTCTACACCCTCAACATCCAAGTCTCTGGATCCACCCTCACACCACTTACATTTTCACATATCTGAGTGGTATAGAGATATTTAGTTCACTCTTTAGGTCATTTTATTGCATCCGGTACTTAATCTATTTGTTGATGTGTATGAGGATTGCTAATGGTGGCATGACCCAGCTGTGTATAGATATTTTCTTGACAGTCTTTTCCAGTGCATCTCATGCTTACCCCATTTTCTCTTTTCTTTATTGTTTGTGGAATTTATTTTGTTTGTGGAATTTATTAAAATGCACGAGTTCAACTTTTTGACATTTTACCCATATCTTTTGAATTAGTTTCAAATTACCCATCAAAATGCTTATCACCATGAGTTGGAATAGTTGAATAAGGGTGAAGTGTTAAATTGTTAAAAAGCTAGGTGGATCTTGAGGAATTTCCCCTTTTGTGTGTGTGTGTGTGTGTGAGGGGGGAGGGATTCTCTTTGCTCTTCTTTAAGAGTGATAGAGAAGTGAATTTTCAGCGAGGTCATTGTTGTGACTGAGATATCACCCAGCATTTCATTGATGCTGTAAATTAGAGGCATTATGGTCCTTTTCGCCTGTTGGCTGCTCAAGCTTAGCCTAATTTTGTAGCTTATGGAGCAATTCCTTTGGTGTCTTGATTTTCCAGGACTGACGAGTGTAAAAATGGGTCATTAAAAGATGTGGAAAACAAACAAGAAGGCCCTTCTGTCCAAGGGCTAGGTCTTGGATTACCCACACTTCGCCCTAAGAAGAAGGGTAAACAAAAGGTTTTGAGTGGTGGCTCAACGGGAGTGGATTCTTGTATATCTGAGGCCCTTGACAAGCTTACTCAGCAGACAAAGGAAACAATTAAAGGTTTAGAGTCATCAGCCCCAGAAGACCCAACTGAGCAGATGATGGAGAACTTTGCCAAGGAGTTTGCAGAGCTTTCTGGGTCCCAGGTATGCTATCATTTCATCTGGGAGTTCTTAATTCGTCTTGTAGATTATGTTTTTTTTTTTTTTTTTTGAGAAATTTTAACATCTTGTAGATTATGTTTGTTCATTTAACATTATTTGTGGTTCCCCAGGAACTGGTTTGGTTTTCTTCATATTTCGATTGGTTGTGTGGATTTCTGTCTTATAAATTGTTATGATTCTTCTTTGCTACTTTCTTTTTGGATGAACATTTTTTGTTGAAACTTAACTGTGAAGAAAAGGAAAAAAATGGGCACAGCTTTAGTTATTCCCTTAGGTTCAAGACTTACAGTTCATGCGCCTGGAACTTCACACATTTTGGTTGGCATTGTTTTGTCAGAACAATCCGTACATCTTAACTTGAAGAATAGAGTAGAATAAGAAGAATGACTTGCACATGCTTAAAAAATGAAGTCTGCATGTATCTGTTTCTTTTTGTGAACATTAGCAAACATTGTGACTGGACCAACATGTATTTGCAAATAAGCAACATTTCAACTTTTCAACAAGTGCGGTCATTCAAGCCCCTAATATTGTGGCCTGCTCTCAGAGAAATCTACAAGCCATATGTGACATCCAACAATCTTTTTCCATTTCCTTAGCTTTGTATCCCATGCCTGTTGTGGTCTTGGTCTTTGTTATTTTCAAATACTCCTTTATCGAAGAGGCCACTAGAAACTATTTTGGGATCTCCTCTACTCGTGAGTCTTTTCCCGATGACCTCTTGTGTTTCAATTGTGTTTATTCCTTGTGAGAGTCTCTAGATTAGTTTTCTTGAGAGAATGGGAAAAGATTCGGGAACAGAGTTTAGACATTGTAAATATATTCATTATCAACAATATTTATTCTGTACATGCATTTTTAATGCAAGTGTTGTTGTTGCTAAATGCTTAGGGTCTTCATCAATATGCATGAACCAATGGACGCTTTTTTTCTTTTCCTTCTATCTTTTTTTTTTTTAATTTATGTTTTGACAATTATGGAGCATGGCATATATATGTATTTGGTGTAATCGGAGACTTGAGATCCTACAACCTTATGCAGGTTCATTGGATTTTGGAAGTATGGAACCCATTATTAGGGAGTTATCCGACATATTTTAATGGAACAATATCTGAAATCAACTGATCCAATAAGCCAAAAGAATAAGAAAATATAATTACTCCTGTTAGCATTTGTACGTATGTCTTATTCTAGAAATTTAGGTTACTATTTGTTCATTTTGTTCTTTGTGTTTTTGTAGGACATGGAGTCCATGGTAGAAACCATGATGCACCAGCTTTTGTCCAGGGAGATTCTTCATGAACCTATGAAAGAAATTGGAGGTAGATACCCAAAGTGGTTGGAGGAGCACAAGGCCAGTTTGAGTAAAGAAGATTACGAGCGCTATTACCACCAGCACCAGCTTATAGTAGAACTCAATGATGTCTATGAAAATGAACCCAACAACTTCACCAAGATAGTTGACCTTATGCAAAAAATGCAGGAATGTGGCCAACCTCCCAGTGATATTGTACATGAACTTGCCCCTGATCTTGACCGATCGGACTTCCAACTGTAAGTGCTCACATGCGTTTTTACAGTTAATTAATTTTGGGAAAGTATGCTCCCAATCGCTTGCAGAGAACCACAAGTGCATTGGGGTCATCACTATTGGATGAAATGAATCGTAGCGTATTTGTGTCATTCCATCTCTCTCTCTCATACACACACACCATCTATCATTTCATCTGACAGTGATGGCCTAAATGAACTATGGTTTAGCCAAAAGATTTCATGCTCCTGCAAGAGCATCTGCCTATTTACTCCCTCGAGTAAAATCCAATCTACGAGTAATTTTAGGACCCCAAAATTTTGAGGATATGAGCCCTTTAACCCATGGACTGAAACACAATTTTTTTGCAGATCGCAGGAATTGGTTGATCCCACATCGAATTGTTGTGTAATGTAAACCATTGATGGCTGATGCCCTAGTGTCCAAAAGTACTTTATTTCCTTTTTTACAGAAGTTGGTATATATTAGGATTTTCAATAATATTCGCATTAGCATATGTGTGGATCGAGATGATTTTTGGGTGTAGTAGATTCGCTGCCCCTCTGCCGAGCATGCATTTGAAAATTTGTGGGCATCGATTCTTCCTGATGAAAGCTTTAAGAGCCATTCTTGAGAAAGTAGAGCAATCGATGCATTTTAACCCATATATTGTGGTGCGTGTAATTGTCAGTTTCTTTTAGATGAAGAGCATATGAAATGATACAGATGATGAATGTGTGAAAGGTGATTGGGTTATTGGTTGCTTTTGCTGTGATTAGGGCCATTTGTGTCATGATACCTGGATCATCACTTTTTTTTAATGATGGGATGCTTTATTAGAAATTTTAATAGGGGGCAGTTTGGACCAGTGTTCGAAACCCTGGATTGGATGGGTGAAACGGCTTTCTATAAATCCGATCTAGATCGGCGACTTGCCAATCCAGATTGGCAAATCATAATGATTCTCTGGTGTGGGTTAGGTCGTCTGAGAATTAGTCTACAAAAATAAAAAGAATGAAATATGAAAAAGGAAAAAAAAAATATGATGTGTGGAAACTAGCTTATGGAACTGGGCGAGTCCATAGGAACTAGCCTGATTTTGGTTCCGACAAGGAATCGCATCGGTCTAGACCGATTTTCGGTCTGGATTGTTGATTCCGATCATGACTGTGGGATTTTAAAACACTAGTTTGGACCTTCGAGTTTGGACGAACCACTTAAGCCCATTTGGACTCCCTAATTATGTGGTAGAACTAGAACTCCCTTGCAATGCATTGGAATGGTTGGGGTGCTATTTCACAAGCGCGACTAAGAACTGTTTGAACTCACCACTTAGGCCTATTTGGACTCCACTTATTTAGCTGCAGGACTAAAACTTCCTTAATAGTTGTACAATGGATAGGGTGCCATTTAGTGCTACTAAGATTAGATTAGATTTGAAAAAAAAAGCATTAATATTTAAAATTATAAAATACATTAAAAGAGTTGTGTAGCTTCATAGTTGGTCGAATTGCTTAAAACTGGTTGGTCTGATCTGTCAAATATTGGTTTTAGTGATTTTTTTTAAGTTTAATTTTTGTTTTGGATCAAACCAACCAAAACATCGGTTGGCGGAGTACCAATTATTGATAGTTATGGAAATATTCACTCGTGCGACTTGAGAATTAGAACTTCGGAGTTTCAATGTCAAGCTAAAGGGTTTTTACTTGTGCGACTTAAGAATTAGAACATCGGAGTTTCAATGTCGAGCTAAGGGGTATCGTGTGTATAGCATGTGGATGTGGACAGGAGTTTTTGGTGATATTGTAGCATGTGATCTCGACCGATGAAGAGTGCCTTGATGGGTCAACGAATCTAATTTTTTATAAACCCCATTTGAACTATGGATAAGCGCCTTTTTTAAATGGGGTGGCGTAATCCTTTGTACTAAAAGGAAAAAAGTTGTGGTATTATTGTATGATCTATATTTATTATGTTGAGGGTGTTTTTTTTATTTTTATTTTTATTTTTCTTTTTACTCCCATTTTAACTTGGAAAAAGTTTATATAGAGCCCAGGCTCTAAACAATCAAATTAGAGCCTACTTCAAAACATTAATTAGAATAGATCGTTTTGTTGCCCGAATATCATCAAATTAATAATCTCGACATCAAGATGCATGGACATGAGAAAAAAATGAATTTCAAGTTTTGGAAATAAGGCATCTTGTAACGCATTTTTCGACCGCTAATTTTTAAGATTTTCAAGTTTTCATAGATCTGATTGAGAACCACTATTTTTTAAGCTTTAAATTTTACAACTAAAGATAAAAATATAATTTAAGGCTATCACAAAACTTTCCGACATTGAAACCATATTTCTCTACACTATTTGAAAGTGGGCTCAAATTTGATTGTTTAGACCCTGGGCTCTATACAAACCGCACCTTTTTATACAAACCGCACCTTTTTAACGTTAGAGTTAGTTTTATGAGTCCCCCGACTCATAGTATTCTTGTGTGGGCTCCCTCTACTACCCATTTTTATGCAGATTGTGGATCTACATTTGTAGAGATCCATGATCTACGCAATGATGATCGTGTTTATAAAAAATAAAATAAAATAAAATTTTAAAACATTTTCTTTTAATTTTTTCTTATCCTTTAGATAGGAATCTTTAGTTGTGGAGGTTCATCTTAGAGATGGACGATTGTGAGTCAATGGGCTAGTGACTCTGTCGACTCACAAAACACTTTTCCTTTTAACTTAATGTTAAAAGAAAAAAGAAAAAAAAATAATTTTCCTTTGAACTATAGTTAGAAAAATATTATTTTTCGAAACAATTGCTCATTCAATCAAAACACGTTAGTGTTAGATCTTATTTCCGCTCCTTTCTGCTCCCCGTCTGCAACTAGGGGAGTAGTCCAAAGTATACATAACCATCATTTCATTATGTCCTCCTAAACAAAAGAGTGAATCTTTCATGTATATGGAACTCAACTCGTTCTATTCGTAACAAGTCTAATATAAAAAAATAAGTATGTATTCATCACAAATAATAGAGCAGAATGGTTCGGAGTACAAAATGTTTTAACGACTAGGATAAAGATTTCAAATTGAAACCTTAGATATATAGATGGATCATATCCCATAAATTCTTCTTCTTTTGTCAATCAACATCTCTTTCTTTTTATTTTCTACTAAAGAGGATTGTTTACAAATAGACTATTTATCTTTTGTACATGAAAGTCACAATTATTCTTGTCCCTTAAATTTCAAAGTGTGTCATTGAATAGGTACAAAGTTTCAAAAAAAAAAAATCCAAAGCAGCCTAAAGTGACAACAAACTGCCTTATGCATTTGAGTAACATTCTTTTGGATGACTTGGAACAATTTTATGTAAAGAACAAAAGCCAAAACCAACCCTCCAAGATGAGGTTCATTTTGTGGGGATAATTTTTCAAGAGGGACAAATTATTGAAAAAGTTTATTGGATGTCTCATATAATTGTTTAAATAAATAAACATATGGGACGTCCAATAAAATTATTTGAATAATTTGGCCATCTTAGCCTAACATAGGGGTAGCCCTAACATGATTAGCAGTTGACATTAGCAATGCTATGTCTTAAGTTCGATTTCAATTCCTATCACACACAAAAAAATAAAAAAATAAAAAATAAATAAATAAAGGGGCTAATGAGAAAGAAATTCTATAATAGATGGTCAAGGAGGGTATCTCCAAGACCGCTAATGGTCAACTTATTGTTTACAATTACTCAAATTTAAATCAGCCTAATTAATAAAATAGTGATTAACTGTTCAAAAAAATAAGGGGTATATCTCATACAATTTCCTTTAATAATTACAAGGAACCAACCAAGTGTTAAAAATAAATCAATAAAATGAATAAATGATACTATAAATAACTAAAAGTTAAATCTTATCACACATCTGATGGGGAAATCCAGTGCCTGCCATTGACAAAACTCTTGACAAGAAAAGGCTTTGCAGACATGAAGTCAAGCTCTCTTGCCCATGACACCCCTCTTGCTGAACCAGCACCAGGGCCCCAGCATCTATAAACTCCAAAAAATGCTTCCCTGTAAATAAAAAATAAAAAATATAAAAAAATGAAAAAAATAAAAATTAAAAGGAGATTCAAGAACAAAAGGGTAAGGTATGTTTGTAGTTCGGTTATTTTTTTAAATGACCCAAACTTTAGAGAATACAAAGATTGTCCATTGATATGAGTAATGACTCATTGTGACTGTTCATGGTGCATTGACAGTAGCTAAAACCAAGCTCACTCTCAAGTGATCAAGCTTACTTTCTCTGGTTGCTTCTATGATCCCAATCATCCCATCCTTCGTTGGAGACAATGTCGTCGAAGTATGTGTACGCAAAGACGACTCTCGAGTACTGGCCTAAAGCGCGACCAACGTATAGCGGCCCAGTTCCGGTTACCTTACAATTCACGAATGCAAATCCTGTCTTCTCAAGTGGAGATTGCCGGGCTTGTGCAGCTATAGACCCGAACTTGGTTGCAATAGAATGTATTTCGCAATCCTACAATAAGTGGAAATGCCTGAGATTCAGCTCCATGTCACAATGATTCGTACCAATGGTTTAAAAAATGGATCGGTGACTTGGATCGGGTTTCCAAAAAATCGATTCGGATCGACGAATCAGCGATCCGGATCTCGAATCGGGTAAATCGGTCAGAATAAAGCTTAAAAAAAATCCGAAAAAATTATTAAAATTCATTATAAATATTGTTTTTTAGGAATTCAATAAGAAATGAAGGTACTCCATTAAGAATTTTCATGTTTTTGAATGAATATGCGAATATTGATATGTTCTTTTCCTGCATGAACCACCATTCAGCATTTAATTTACATCACACAAAAGGATAAATATATAATTATCATGGAATAAGTATATCAACATACATGGACTAAAATAAAGCATAAAATTAGTAACATATGATCTAAAAATAAAATGATAGACGACGTTATTGTTCTTCTTGGTCACGCTGGTGCCATTGATTGAATTCGTTTAACAA